TAAAAAGCACAATATTTTTTGAAATTTTGAACAATTTCTGAAATTTCAAGCATGTTTTCAAAATAACGAACAAACTTTTAAAACATGAACATTTTTTAAAAAACTACCAATATTTTTGGTTTAGTTGAATTTTACAAAAAAAATTAAAAAAAGGAAAAAATGTGGAAGGAGGAAGAAAGAGAAGAACAAAAAACAGAAAAAATGAGACTTAAAGAAAAAAGAAGGAAAAAAAGAGACATGAAGAAAATAAAAACCCAGATAGAAAACCATTACAAAAATGTAGGAAAAGGGGACAAACATATGGAATCTCCTAGAAGCAGATTAAAATTTCAAAAACCGGACCAAAAACACTCTCAAATCTCGACCGACCCCTCCACGTGCCGTAATGAGTCGACCTACAGGAGCACCCTTAGTATGCAATCGCTGTCTTACGCTTTGCTGTAAGCGATATGTATCAGTTATGGGAATAGGATCCTCACGAGTGCTTGTAATTAGCACCTTCAGCGCTGGTTTGAAACTGGCGCTCGCTTGAGCAACACTTGGGCCGGCCGATTAGGATGGTTTCTCCGTTGCGCTCGCCCGTTCACTACTTTCCATAAAAAACCAGAAAACATGACTTGCCATAAAGAAAACCTCATTCGTTGCTCCCTGTCCAGGAAAAAAACAATAGTTGTTGGTTCTGATAAAACACAAGTTTTTTTTTTGAAAAACCAAATGTGAATTTTGCAAAGTCTTGAAGAGGCACCTGTTTTCTAAGAAAACCTGAATATTTGATAAAGTTCACGAGTTTTAAAAAATCATGATTTGTTTTTAACAATGAATTTTCAAAAAAATTGATGAATTTTAGAAAAGTTCCAAATCTGAGAAGAGTTCACAAACTTGGAAAAAGTTCATGAAGTTTAGAAAAACACAGTTAAAAAGTTTACAAAAACAAAAAAAAAGGAAAACACAAAGAGAAAAATAAAATCAGAAAACAAACCCTGGTCGGAAGCTTCTAGAAGATTCACAAAACCATTTGGAAGCTTTTAGAAGCTTTCATGAAACTGGATGGTGGATGTTTATGTAAAAGAGCGCAACCTATATGGGCCGGACATTCCTTTGTAGGTGTGCGCCATGTACAGAATTGCCTATAAATAGCGCCTTGAGTGCCAAATAGGAATTGACAAAAGGAGGACGGTGACGGACAAACGGACGTGCCGACGGATGGAAAAGAATGAAAAATAGTGAGGACTGCAATGTATTTAAAAAACACTATCACAATTCAGGTAGGTGTCCCTCAAAACTACCGCTCTACAAAATGTCCCACAAAATCACGGACGAGGTCACAGACGTCTCTTAGCATCGAGCCAAATGAGTGGGGCTCCGGACGGGACGGCGGGTCCGTGGGGAGCACATCGTTCCGTGTCCGTCACCTCTAGTAGTTACGGTTGCTGCAGCGGATGCAACTTCAGCGGCGAGGGGAGGACGACGACGTGGACACATCCATTCTGCAGCTGCCACTGGAGCCGAAGCACATTGTGTTTGAAGGCGCCGTCTGTGATCCATGCCCCTCGGCGTCTTTCATCTTGGTGAAGATGGTCAGGTCGGCCTTTGGAGCTCGGTGGCGGCCTCCTTGCAGCCGGCCGTAGTGGCCGTCGACTCCTCCCTCCGTCAAGCTTACACTGCCACTCGCCATGACCATATGTACTAGGGTGGGGCCCACATACAACTTAACGGTCAAACTACTCAATGACGTGTCAGACTTGACAGATGGGCCACCTCCGGGCTGTCATAATCCGGCTTAAAATGCCTGAATCGGCACCTTATCAAAAGTGGTAGTTTTGAGCCAAAAAATAGACAAAATGTTAGTTTCATAGGACTTTTTGTAGCGTTTTTTTAACATCAGTACAGACACAAGCGCTCATATACACGCGCATACACTCATCCCTATGAACGCACACATGCACACCCTACCCCTATGAGCATCTTCGAAAGACCGAGTCGGCATATCATCTTGAGATTTACGAAGTCACCATAGGCGTCTCGTCGTCGACGGAAACGTCTCCTCCCACTGAATGTGCATCGCCGGAAATCCTGAAATAAATACAGAAATAAATGCGAGCACCAGGATTTGAATCCTGATGGGCTGGGGATACCATAATACCTCTAACCATCCAACCACAAGTTGGTTAGGAATAGTTCCGAGGGACACTTGTCCGAATTGTGGTAGTTTTTTTCTGTTAAATTCTACTTAGAGAGATAGGGAGACCTGCGAGATAAGCTTGTACTCCCTCCGTTCGGAAATACTTGTCATCAAAATGGCTGAAAATGGATGTATTCAGAACTAAAATGCATCTAGATATATCCATTTCAATGACAAGTATTTCCGGACGGAGGGAGTATGTCAACGACGTATGCATACATACAAGAGTGTCAATTTAGCTCGCTGGAGTTGGTAGGGAGTCCAAATCCGATTGAAGCCCCAAGGGAAAACGAAACAAATGTCTAGCTAGGACGCCCTGGTCCGTCGCGCTAGACAGGGATCCCATAGCAGCTAGGACGCTCCGTCGACACTGGACATCAAACGAGAAACAAGTGCACAATTCCAAATTGCAAAAGTCCTGGTCCTTCACTGTTTCCGTGGAAAGTACGATTTGGGAGGGAAACGAGATGCAAAAAAGTTGGCCCTTCATTATTCCCCGTGGATTGTTTTAATTATATTTTTACATATACTTAGAAGACAAAGTATTGTTATTAGATGTATGTCTATCTGTAACTGTATTTTTTCTAAACCGAGGCAAAGATTTGTCTCATTAATTAATTGAAAAAGAGAGTTTATAGTCCATTACGTCGGCTCCACAACATAGCCCATCATACAAGTACAACACCATCAAAAAATAGGATTACTCTCTCAACATGATAGCGCTCATGTGCTTAGGCCCTGCGGGGATCCATAGTCTGGCCTTGTCCTGGATGAGCTTGAGAATGTAGAAGGGGTGATTTACTATAAATTACAAATTTGTATGCGTGATCCCAAGAAAAATACAAACTTATGTGTGCGTGCAATAGTCTTTCCCATTGCATTACTTGACATTATATGAGTGTTAAACCCCGTGATGATATGGACATTTTTCAAGTCTTTTTCACTACACTAGTGAACTAGTGTAAAAAACGCTTTTATATTATGGGACGAAGGGAGTAGTATGCATGACTGATAGTCTGATGTTATATAATACTTGGATACATATGTATGTTTTGTAGCTAGATGAGAAAATGCAAGTAAACGACTGTCCTTAATCCTGAATACCACCCTATACCTACCTACCTGCTCAGCTCGACCTCATGTTTGTGTTATGGGGCTATTGTGCCTTCGTGTGTTGGCCACTGACCTGCAAAATCTATCCATCCATCTTAGATCAGAATTGTATGTCATTGATGTTGACTCGTGATAAGAGGGGTCTGGACCAAGTTTAGTCGGGTGTCAAATTGGATGGTATCATATCGTGTGTTTGCACGTGGCTACACATGTACAATTCCCTTTTTTGATTGTATATAAAAGATATCCCAATATATATGGATTTATTATGGTAGAACCAGCCCACCCAACTTTAAGTCCTACTAGAGGCTTCCTCGCAAAAAAAAAAGTCCTACTAGAGGCTAACCCCGGCTTCGTTGCGCTGTTTTTCATTTGTGGGTTTAACTCTTTTTTCTCTAGCAGGTTATTGCAGTCAGTTGTTTCATTATAATTTTGTTTGTGTTGGCTTGGGTCATAATTATGTCATGGCGGTGTTTTTTCCCATTCGTATATCATGTCGGGCTGTTGTTAGAGTTGGTATTTGTTCTAAAAGGAGAGTAGAGTTATTTTTTTCTGCGATCGGAGAATAGAGTTGTTTGCTGCATGGTTGTGGTGTCCTTACATGTTTCAAGTTCAGTGTCAGCCGGTGGTGATTGTGTAACTCCTTGGGAGTTCCTATTCCATACTTAGACCGTGGAACTACTGCTATAACGCCCACATTGTTAGGTCCATAAAGCTCTCGCTCGCTCGGCTCAGCTCCCTGCTTCACTTGCTTAGTTTTTTTTTCTGCTTGCTTAATTCTAGCTCAAGAAAAACAACTATCATTTTTTATTTGAAAAACTTCGCTAAATCAATAGATGTTCACTAATATTTAAAAAAAATACTGGATTTTAAAAATGTTTCAAATAAGAAAAATGTAAAAATTAGTCAAACAAAAAAGAAAAAAATTATTTTGTACACGAGTTAAACCCTCCATCATCATTATGTAGTGAGAAATAGTGTTTCACGAAAATATAGTTTCACTCCACTTTATATATAAAGGACTGACCATGGCCAAACAACAAATTATTCAAGTGCAAGGAAACTAAAAAAAATAGGTCTACTATGACAACCTCTCTTTATTCACTAAATAAAACCTCCCTTTATTATGAAGCATTGACCATAGCCATACAACAAATTATCCAAGTGCTAAGAAAATGAAAGGAGTTCTACCAAGGTCCAAGGCAACGGTACATCACATGCCCAAAAGCGAAGAAAGAAAATCGATACACGACTCAGAAATAGTGTTTTGGTGGGAAGCAGAGTGATGTGTGCCGGTGAAGGACCCACGCTACAGTACGTACAAGCACCCTACATCATTACGGACTATCAATATAAGATCAATTAAACTACTTCCGCAAAAAAGGATCAATTAAATCACGTTCACAAATAAACAGGATTTACATGTACAACAGATAATTAAATTACATCCACAAATGTGTTAAAAAAATTACATCCACAAATAAAAAGGATTACATGACACATCTTCCTCCTCGAACGTATATTGAACAGCTGAACTCGTAGAAGTACATAAGTAACACTGGACTAGTTTATTAAGGCTCGCATTATTCCGATTTTCGGGGCACGGTAGAATTTTTTAGGCGGTGCAGATAACGTGGCAGCACCACGTCAATGCAGTCCAAAGCAATTCCATGCGTTGTTCATCGTAGTAATCCAAGATCAATCATCACATGATGGAGCAGGCATCCGACGGGTTCTCCTCCGTGAACCATGGTGGCGGCATGAAGCAGGGTTGCTGCGGCGGCCAGGTGGGCGGCGGCCAGCAATTAGGCGGCTTGCCGCAGCCACAGCCACCGTGAGAGGGGTGTTGCGACTGCGAGCACTTACAGGGCTCTGGCTTGGGGGGCTCCGGCGGCGGTCGGGGAGGCGGTGGCGGCGGGGGCGGTGGCTTTTCGGCAGGGCAGCAGTGACATTGCTGCGGAGGGCAGTTCCACGGCGAGCTCTGGCACTGCATAGGGTACGGTACCGGGTACGGGTAGGGCATGAACTTGTATGTTGGTTTGGGCGGCGGCGGCTCTTTTTCCGGCTCAGGGCATTTTTTGGCCTCAGGTTTGCATGGTTTGTGCTCAGTCGGGCATGGTTTGGCCTCAGGTTTGCATGGTTTGTGCTCAGGTTTGCATGGTTTGTGCTCAGGAGCCGGCGGGCATGGCTTCGGGTGACATGGACATGGTTTTGGCGGCTCGGGCGGAGGCGGGCATGTGCATGCGCATGGTGGTTTCGGCGGCTTGGTTGGAGCCGGCGGGCATGGCGCCTTCGGGTGACATGGGCATGGTTTTGGCGGCTCGGGCGGAGGCGGGCATGTGCATGCGCATGGTGGTTTCGTCGGCTTGGTTGGGCCGGGGTCCGCCGGCGGCGGCGGCCATTGTGGTACGATTTTGATATCCTTGACGGCCTTACAGGCCTTGCACCAGATCTTTTTGCAGAGCTTCTCCGCGTCGAATTTCCCACGGACGATCACCCTGTTGTCTTTGTCCTCGTACTCGGTCTTCTCGATGCAGTAATCCTCTGTTACACGTAAACACGACTTTTCAATTGCATGAATCCTCGTATGATCAATCTTACGTAAGAAGAACTGTTCAATATGCGCGGTTTCATTGCAAAACACTAGAAATAGTAATTCTGGAACAATTTCCTTGTTTCGAAAATACCATTCCCAGTGTAGGAATGAGCGCTGGTTTTACCTTTGAGGCACTCGAGAACATTCTTGATCTTCTTCTTGCAGCGGCAGCATTGCAGGTCTACCGTAATCACCAGTATACTCATCTGCAAACAGTCACACAGATGAAAACAGTCTGACCAAGCAATGGTATTTTCATAGCGCACCGAGCGAAACCTGCAATCCTAGCATCCTAACATATCGAATGGTTTTGAAAGTAAGAAAAACTAAGTGTCAACATTGCTTACCTCTCAACTCTTGAGTATGAAGGTTGCAGTGCCCATGGGCGAGTGGAGAAAGGGAGGAGGATGAGCAGGGAGAGGTGAACCGTGCGTTCCTTTATGTTGGGACTACGCCGAAGCCTGCCAAAAAAAATGGTGATGTCCCGTCTGGTCCGTCCGATCGCGCCTCCACTGGAAAGGACGATTTGGTCGTTTTCAGATAGTTCCTCTCGTTTTCTTGCTTTTCTGCTCGGTTCAGAAGTTCCATTTTGCTTACGAAGAAGGGATTACGATCTTGCTGATCCCTCTACAGTGTGGTTGCTTTTCGTGCTCTCCCTTCGGTTATGAGGCTAATACACGGCAAGGCAACAGTAATACTGACTTGTTTCTAAATCTAGTCCTCCTACCCAATGGGAGAGAACTCAGAAAACACAAAGCAATTTTTTCTTTTGACGATGCTACGACGGGCTTACGCCGGCCTGAACCATTTTCATTATAAATAGGATTGAGATACAACACAGTGGGTACAAAAGATAGTACCCAACACAACACAAGCAAGAAGTTACAGAAGATACAGGGAGCAACAGAGACAGCAAGATACAAAGAGCAACAGAGACGACAAAAGAAGAACTAAGAGTGAAACACGACAACAGCCAACACCGAGAACTTAGCACCCATCAGGCCATCACTAGGTAGACTGAGAAGAGCGGAGCTAGCTTTGTTGGACTAGTCGAAAGGAGATCCGCCACCGAGAAGACAAAGAGAAGTCACCAGCTGCTTTGCGATCACTCTGCACCTTGAAGAGCTAGGAGAATCGCAGACACCGTCGAAGGGCACCCCACTACCTAGGCACGTCACGACAGAGAGAGCCATAGACCATGCCGAAGGGCAATGATCCGCCGAGACAGTCCTGCACCTCCTCTAGGCCACACCCGGCCACCATCACAAATAGAGGGATCCAATGCACAATGCAAAGCAACAAAACCTCAGGCGTCGTCGAAGGGTACCGAAACCCAAGACCTCCCCGCCGCCGCTAGGCCCCAAGAGATAGGTCGACCCTCTGAATCAGGGTGACCAAGGCACTAGTCGCCGCCACAGATCACATCCACTGCCACCACCTAACAGCCTGACCACCCAACACCCGCTCCAACCCAGACATCAGACAACCAACCGCGGATCCATGGCTCCAAAACAAACACCCCCAAGAGGGAAAACGCCATCGAAGATGTCATCGTCGTCCGATCCAAAGGACGATCTTAGGCTTTCGCCCGGAGCACACGCAATAGCAAGCATGGAAGTCCTCAATGATGCCTTCATGAATGGGAAACGGCACCCGAAGGCGTCGCCATCATTGTTGCCGACCAGGTCGACACTAGGCTTTCGCCTGGAACCTCCTATGCCAGTCTTCTCCGCATAGCCGGCCGCTGAGTCCGACAGCTTAGACCTCCCTGCCCTCCAATCAGTCCATGGCGAGCGTCCCCGCAAGGCCAGAAGGAGGCATCCGAAGCCATAATCGCTCACCTCGAGCCCCTGTACATACCGGAGTCAGGAAAGACCGAGCTGCCCGCTGCATCCAATCCCACGCCGTCAACCACCACACCCAACCTCCACCAGAGTAGACCCTGCCGACAGCACCACCGCCGACCCCCCCCAGCCGCAGCCCCTTTGACCGACAGACGAGCGAGCCACCGCCTTGGACAGCCAGATCTGGGAGCAGAGGAAACCCCCAGACCGAGCAAGGCAGCGGGCTCGAGCCTCCAGAGCGCTGCACTGACCATCACCTCCGCGACGACCCACCGTCTCCCATATGCAGCCATGGGCCGCTGGCCGAGGAAGCCGCCACCCCAAGGGAGCCAGATCTGGCACTGGAGCTAGGGATGAAAATGGAGTGGAGACTTTCCGTTTTTCCGGAGGTAAAATGGAAACGGAGAGGAAATATGAAAACGGAAACGGAAATTTGCAAAATGAAAGTGGAAATGGAATTTTTTATGCGGAAATGGAAACAAAAACAAAACGGTGTTTTCCAATGGAACATGCATGAAAATGGAACTTTTTGTTTCCATGAGTATGAAATTTCGGTTTTTACTATAGATCTATAGCTGCTTTGTAGCACAACCACCAAAGAGAACACAATGACACAATTAGTAGAGAGGCCCAACTTCTACTACCACACATGTACTCAGGTGGACGCTATATGCAATTGTCCGGTACTACTTCAATACTACGCTAAGTTGCTAACATAATGATATTATTTTGTAGCCATGTTAACAACTCATTAAATTTGTTTTTTGTGTATACTTCTGATTCAAGGGGTTTTTAAGTTCTGATCAATGCCTATTTTTGTTTCCATATCCGCTCTGTATTCGGTCCGTGTCTGTTTTCGGTAGTATCTGTTTCCGTATTCATTTTCGGGGTTTCTGTATTCGTTTCCGCTTCTGAAAAAAAAGTGAAATCAAATATGATAGCACTCAGTTCCGTCCGTTTCCGCGGCGAGTCCCCGGGCGACCAGCCACCCACGCCACCACGTCGCCCGCGTCGCCGATCAGTGCCACCCCGCCGGCACGCGCCTCCGGATGCACGCGAGTCCCCGCCGCCAGAACGCGCCCCGCGCCGCCACGCCCCGCCGGGAGGACGAACAACCGTCCCTGCCGCCGCCAGCGCTGCGTGAGCTTTGCCCGGCGTCGCCCTCCAGCAGCGGGAGGAGGAGAAAGAGGATGAGGGTGGAAGTAGCCGGCGGCGGCTAGGGTTTCTCCTGGGCCGCCCGTGCGGGAGCGACATGGGAGCGAGCGGGCGGTGTGATCACAAAGCAAAATTTGACTTGTATCCAAGTGAAAATCCTTGATCACCTGCTCCTCCGTGCGGCTGTCACCCGCAACATAATCGCCGCTAAATGGCGCTGGCGCTGCTCGTGCTCGATCTGTAGAACAATTTTCGAAGCTTGGGTTCAAAACATTGCGGCCTTGGACTGATTCGTTCTAATCCTTTTTCTCCTTCTTGCTGGTGCACTCCAGCTTTAGCGCCACGAGCTGCCGAGTCTTGTTTTTTTAAAAGAGACATCAGAAGACATATATCTGAAATTTATCAAGAAAATGCCGAAGGGCCTATTGCCGGTCTTTATTAGAGGGAAGAAACATCAGTACAGGTTGTGTACAGTCTAAGCGAGCTAGACTGAAGACCTGTGATTACAAGCCACTCTAGGGTTACAACCCCAGTTACAGCATATCAGCACAGAGAAACTATGTAACAGCGGAGCTAGTCCGGTAATTCAGCAATGCATCCGGCTGCTCTCCATATGGCTATGTCCTCTTTGCACAAGTCCAGCACCCTGTTGCACGAGCTGGCCAGCTGATCGAAGACCCTCGAGTTCCTTTCCTTCCATATCCTCCAATATAACAAGATCACCACTGTGTCAAAATTACTCCTTGCAGGTTTGGGAATCGACGCCCTGGCCTGTATCCACCAATCTTCCGTGGAGGTGAATCTGTCATCCGGCCCCTCGAAATCTACCCCAGTCCATGATTTAAAACAAAACCACAACTGCTGTGTGAAAAGGAGATGCGCATAGGACGAGGATCCCCTGACTTTGGCTAACCTGCCATTGAAACACTGACACATGGGTCCCACCAAGCATGGGCCCACTTGTCAGCGACACAAAGGCAGGGTAAGCCAGGGTTAAGCACGTCAGAGGATCTGTGTCCATGTGCATAACGGGCGGGAGCCGTTGGAGGGCCAGTTCCTGCGCTCCAGGTTGTCTGCCGTGAGGCATCTTCTATGAACCGCAAGCCACGTGAAAAATTTGCATCGAGGCAGAGCTTTGGATTTCCAGATCGGTAAGATGCAAAGCTAGTGTTCCCCAAGAAGAACAACTGGTAGGGGCTCTTGACTGAGAATTGACGATCGTCCGTCCGGGTCAAGGGCCAGTATGATGAAAAGACAATTGGGCGCACACAGGCTACTACTCTACAGAATAAAATTACATTGCAAAATGTATTAGCTTTCTTCTTTGACCTTATCGTATGCTGTTCGTCGGAGATTGAAAATTACAATGAATCAACAGTGAAGGAATAAGACACTTACCTTCGCCATACCAGAATTAAAGACCGTAATTTTTTTTCGCGAATACGCAAAGCTTATGTATCTTTTCATTGATAGAAGGGGTAGAATGAGTACATAGAGATACAACACATGACACAAACGCAGGCAGGCGTGAACATGGTGCCCGGAGCAGAGAGACAAGGGATGCTCGGCCCGAACAGAAGATACATCACAACTAGACCTACCAAGCCCGAACCACGGGCGACAATGCCGAACCAACAAGAATTCCAACATCACCCGAACCATCACCGGGGACACCGCGAGCAAGCTAGATAGCGCCTTCAAGAAGGAAGACGACGTCGAGACGCCGTCGCTATCCGGTCCGAGGTAACCAGACCTAGGGTTTCCCCTGAGCTCGAAGAGGGGCAAAGCTGAAGGCCTTGGAAGTGCCTCCAAGAAGGAAACGACACCCGCGGGCGCCGTCGCTGCCAGCACCGGAAAACCGAGCAGGGATCTCTCTCTGGCCTGAAGCTGAGCAATCCCATCACTGTCGAGTCTGGAATCGAAGATGAGAAAGTCCATGTTGGCCGGAATCACCACGTCGGGAAGGGGTTGGCGGGGCTACACTTGCCGTCGGAGGGTGGCACCGCCCCCGCACCCACGAGCGTTGGATCCAGCAAAAGGGGAGGCTTTGAGGCCTCTGGGGTAGGGCAGGCGACGAAGTGAGCCACACGGAGGGCATGGGACGACGGCGTCCAGCAATGCCGACAAACTAGGACTGGAGAGACGCAGATCCGAGCTGCCGTGGCCTTAGCCACCGAGACATCGGCGCGCCAGGTAAGCTGGAAGGG